TGATCCCTGAGACAGGGCCGCTCCCAACAAAGCCGGGCCCAGCTGGCCTGTGGGAGCCACAGGGCGGGACAGGGCGGAGCGATGGGGTTGATTAGATAAGTGGGTGCTGGGGTAACCCCACGGTGGGCACCAACCACAGAGCCCACCGTCGGAGGTGGCCGGACTTTGCACTCCAGAGGCTACCAGCCATTAGGCACAAACAGAAGCTGGCCCCTGGAAGGCGGGAAGGCCAGCTGTGTGCAGGAGGGGCCCCGGTTCCCAGACGTCCACAGACGCACAGGGTGACGCCTTCACCTGCCTCCTCAAGTCAGAGCTGCGAGCCAGCCTGCCAGGGCCGTGGTTCAGGTGGGGAAACAGGCCTGGGGAGGCGGGTGGCTGAGCAGCGTCGGTTCAGGAGGCAGATGGTCCTGGGTGGAGCCCTGGATCCTCTGCCAGAGAGCAGCTTCGGGGTCTGGTCTCGGGGGCAACTGCCTTCCCTGCTGTGTGACCCCCAGCTGGTTGCTGGAGTCTCTGGGCCTGTGGGATGGGAGCAGACGCTCCTCCACAGGCTTGCTGCCACATGTGCATCAGGAGGGGGCCGCGGTGCCTGTGCTGGGCATGTTGGCCACGTTGTTGAGGGAGGCCACAGGGACCTCTAGGGCCTCTGGGGCAGAGCCAGAGCTCAAGGGTGGAGGCCACATCCCAGGGGGCAGCCCTGGGCTGGGCCCCAGGCCTTAGGATGCCCACCTGGTGCAGCTTCTCAGTCCATCCGGGCAGCTGGGAGAGAGAACAGTGCTGGCTGCACCGGCAGACACACCCCTACCCTCATGGCATGAGCCCAGGGGAACATCATGGGGGCACCCCCTTCTCCGTATGGGTAAACCGAGACTCAGAGCACACACAACCACTGGCGAGCTGGGCAGAGGCAGGATTGGCCCCAGGCCTGTGGATTCCAGACCCCAGCTCTCCCTCCCCAGGCACCCCCAAAAGGCCCTGGACCCTGGCCAGACCCACCAGGCTCCCCTCAGCCAGGCTCCCCACTCTGTGGGGTTGGCCCAGCCGGCAGCGCTGAGCTCTGCCTGGTCCTCAGCCCCCCACTGCTTCCATCCCCGCGAGTGTCACCGGAGGGTTTTAAGACCCATGTGGACATTTCAATCATATAAATATGCAATGGCTGGAACTTCTCATTTGGTTCCTCGCAGATGCTTGGGGGTGAAATTGAATCCCAGCACGGCGTGTTTGTTCTGGAGATGGCGTGTGCAGTCCTGTTTGCCTGAATAAATTAATCCTTGTCCCAGTGCTGTGCCTATAGTGGCGGCCCCATGCCCCCTGCGGGGTTCACCTATGCGGCTTCGGGCCCGCCCCCTCCTCAGGAGACCCGTCTAGAGATGGGGAAACTGAGGCCACAGCTGGAAGAGTCAGCCACGGGGCCACCAGCCGCTCCCTCCCACCTCAGCTCAGAAGACCCCTGGGGCTCTGGTTCTAACCCACCCCCCCGCTGCCTACCCTTGGGCCAGAGACAGAACCTCTTGGATCTGTCTCCCCCACGTGTGTTGGGAGGAGTAACTTCAGAGCAGCTGGGAAGAATCCCCGCAAGTCCTGCTGGGCCCGGCTGAGGCTCAGTCCGTGGGGCAGGCACTCATGTTGGGTCCGTGGGGCGGGCACTCATGTTGGGCTCGTGGGGATTTGGGAGCCGCAGCTGGTGTCCCCATTCTTCATCTGCAGAGACGACCTGGCTGGAGCTGGCATCTCTGCTGGGCTCACCCCAGTTGCTCTGGAGCTGGGGAAGAGGCAGCAGAGAGACCGGTCACAGGAGGCTGGCAGGGAAGGACACCTCCCCCTGGAAGCCCACCCTGACTGGCCTACCCGCAGAGCTGTTGGTGCCATGGGGGTGTCTGGCCACTGCCTGTGTTTTCTGGGAGCCCCAAGGCCAAGACTGTGGCTTGCCTGTTGCTGCCCCGGGTTCCCCACAGGGTTTTGTGGTGGGACAAGCACAGAGCTCACCATGGGTTCTGGTCCCACCTCCAGCCAGAGCTCCCAGTGTGGCTTGGGCACTCCTCAGCCTCGCTGGGCCCTGGGCTTCCTGGTGGTGGGGTTGGGTGCTGGCCATCTCCATGGCTGCCACTGTCTGGATCCCCCAGCCATTTTACAGACCATTTAAAAAAACATCTGCCTGTGTCTTCCCGCCCATTCCCACCCAGCTCAGCATCCCCTGGCCCCCAGTCCCAGGCCTCTCACCCTCACTCACGGACATTTCTATCCATTCTCAGCCTTGAGTCAAGTCCTCAGGAGGCACCCCATCTGCCAGGAGTAGGAGCCTCACCCACCCCCACTTTCCAATGCGATTTTGTTTCTGGTTGGGAGAGGGTCTCTGCAGGAACAGGGGGCTGGAAATAGGTTACGTGAGCAGATGAGTGTTGCGAACCACCACGGCCTCCATGTTCAGTTGCACAGGTTGTAAGCTGCACAAGGGCACCTGGGGTGAGCTGGGGCTAAGATCAGCCATGCTCCCCTTACCAATCCAGGCACCTTCGTGGCCCTGCATCCACCCCCAAGAGGCACCTTTCCCATGCACAGCCCCTTGGAGACGCAACCTGAACCCTGGTCCAGGGAGATGGGTTGTCGTGGTGACCGTCGCCCTGGTCCCCAGCCCCACACGCCTCCGATCCCTGGACTCCCTGGAGGCCCCTCGCCCAACCCCCGGCCATCCCTGAGTGGTGGGTTCTGCCCCTGGGCGAGCGGAACGGCCACCTTTATCGGAGCCAGCCCTCTCTGGCGGTGCGTGATACCCAGAAGGGGCGGCCGCCACGGGAAATGCCAGCCACGCTCTTATCTGGGAGGCTCGGCCGGCTGGCCCTGGAGCTCCGATTAGGGAGCAGGACCGTTTGCCTGTGGGTGCAGCGTGGACCGGGTAGGGTGGGCACCAGTTCTGCCCTCCCCCTTCCCCATGAGGGCAGGGGGCAAGCGAGAGCCCAGGGCCACCAGGACAGGGACCTCGACACCCTTGAGGTGACATGTGGCAGGTGTGGACACTGCAGGCCCAAGCTCCTCCTACCCCTGGAAAGGTGGGCACCAGCTCCAGGTGCACGGCAGTGTCTCAGGAACAGCAGGGGCGCCCAGTGGGGGCTCCGTGCCCAGCAGGCCCAGGGACTCTGGTCAGGAATGTTCTAGAACCTGAGGGGAAGGCATGCGACCCCTTCCCTCTCTGAAAGGAAGTCACAGCACTCATGGGTCCAGATGTGCCCTCAGGGGCTTCTCAGACAAGGGTCCTCTGCCCCCCACCCCGCCCTGCCCCGCCAGAACAGAGGCCCGCACGCAGGGCCCCACCCACGAAGCTGCGAGTGTTTCTGACGGTCCGGATGGGATTCCACATGCTTCCCTGTGGCCCCAGCCCTGACTGAGGGGTGGCACTCAGGACCCACCAGAGACTGGACAGACAGAGGGACGGACGAGCACACACTGGGAGCTCCCCTCTGGGGAGTCTCTTCTCTCCTATGTCTACCCCTGAGGCCTGACCAGGTAGGGGCCAGAGACGCAGGTGCAGCCAGGACATGAGGGGCCACCACTGTCACACACAGGGTGCCCCTGGAGCCAGGCCTAGGGCTTTGGACCCCAGTGCCCTGCTGCTAGCCGCATAGCCTCTAGGGGCCTCAATGTCCTCGTCTGTACAGGGGGATGACCCCGTAGGGCCGTGTGGTGCTGGCTGGCCCATGTGAATGGGATGCTGGGACCCAGCTCACACTGGTCACCCTCTTGGTGCCAAGCCCTGCAGGGGCAGGGGCAGGGGAGGAGGGAGGCCCAGTGGTCAGAGCCCTGGGCCGGGACCCAGGCATTCTGGGTGGGCTGGCAGCCACGAAGCTGAGACGGCAGAGCCGCTCCTGCTGCCCCCAGTCCGCTCGTCCCCTCCTGGGGGCTGATAAAGGGACGCAGGCCTCCTCGGCCTCTCAGTCCTGGTTCGCTGCCATCTTATCTGCCCTGGGGAAGACAAAGACCCAGTTAAAACGTTTTAGCAGGGCCTCCCGGCGTATTTACATGTTATCTCTGCCATTAGGCAAGCAGCTATCTGATCATCAGGCCCATTAAGGCCACAGCCTGCCCAATCGGGGCTCCAGGAAGTGGGGCTGCCACAGCACTGCGGCCAGGGGACCAGGCGAGGCCACGTGAGGCCTCCGTGGGCCCAGGCAGCCCTGGCCACGGGAGAGGTAGAGGTGACCCGGCCTTCCTGGGCAGAGGGTGTGTGGCCCGGAAGGAGCCACGTCCCTGTTGTCCACCGAGGAGGCTGAGACTCCAGGAGGCGGGTGAGGGTGAGGTGTGTGTGTGTCCTGGGCTGCGTGCTAAGTTCAGACGGCGGATGTGTGTCCTCTCACAGTCTGGAGGCTCCAAGTCCCAAGTCCAAGTGTCGGCAGGGCCAGCCTCCTTCCAGAGGCTCCCTCCTGCCATTCGCAGCTTCTGGGGGCTTCAGGCAGCCCTCATGGTTGCCTCCCATCTCCACCTCCATCTTCTCATGGTCTTTTCTGTCTCCTTTTCTGTGTCTCTTAGAAAGATACTTGTCATTGGTTTTAGGACCCACCTGATAATCCCATTGATCTCAAGAGCCTTAATCTAATTACATTTGCAAAGACCCTTTTTCTAAATATGAGCATGTTCGTAGACTGCAGGCTGGTGTATCTTTTGGGGGCCACTCGTCAGCCATGACACAAATTCATGCCAGCATTGCACCGTGCGGCCGGGCTCTGTGGGCCCTGTCTAACCTGCAGCCCTTGCCCCGGAGAACGACCATCGCAGGGCTCACAGCCCAGCCGCAGGCATCCTCCCGGCTGCGTCGCTATACCCCACAGTGCCCTAGAGATCATGCTGCAGGGCTGCCCAGGCCCCCGGGACCCAGCACCTGCCGGCCCCTGCCACTCAGCCCAGGCCCCCAGGACTGCCACGCTCCACTGCCCCTTGGGCCGACCCTGGTGGGAGGTGGGCTGGACAGGCCCAGACCGGGCACGCCTCATGCCTGCGATGTCTCCCTGCAGACGAGCTGGAGCCGGTGGTGCAGGATGGGCAGAGGCGTGTACGGGCCCGACTCAGCCTCGCCATGGGTCTGTCCTGGGGCCCGTTCCACGGGAGTGTCCAGACCGGAGCCTCGTCGCCCGGGCAGGTGGAGCCGGTAAGCAGCCCCCACCCCCGCCCCTGCCCACCCACCCGATACAGGGCAACACCGACCCAGGGGACAGGCCCAGCTTAGATGCCAGCCCAGGAGCTCTGGCCACTGTGTGTAGAGCCTGTGGGAAGATTTGGGCCTGAGACACTGGGACCTGGAGGGCAGGGAGGGATTCACTGCCTGGGGGCCCACAGAGGGCTTCCTGTAGGAGGTGATATTGGGCCTTTGGTGCCTCAGGGAGGACTTCCTGGAGGAGGGGTTCTTTAAGCAGGACCTTGACAGATGACTGGGCATTGGGACAGGGGAGAAGAGCATTCAAGGGGAGGGAGGAGCAAAGCAGTGGCCCAGGCCTTGGGGGTACTGGGACGGTGAGGACGCTGCAGCAGAGGGCGAGAGGGTAGTTCTGCATCTGTCCCCGCAGACCCTTCTGACAATAGGCATGGCCATCAGGCCCGTGGTCTCCATGGCCTCGGCACGAGTGCTCACCTCCTTGGTGATAGCCCCTGCCTGGCAGAGCCTTCCAAGGCAGCCCCTTGCTGCTAGACACGAATGCCTGTGTGGTTTGTCTTGGATGTACTTCTGGGGCCACCTCCGACTTATGACAAGTCAGTACGGTTTCCTCTGAAGATGGTATAACAGTTTCTTTTAAAACACGTCTCAGCTAAGAAAGGGCACTGATATATAGAAACCTGTAAGTACGCGTGGGGCCACGTCATGGGTGGCATAGGGTCTGGGGCCTCCCGGGTCGTTCACACAGCCTTTTGCCGCTCAACAGGCAGATGCGTGTCCCAGACCGCTCAGGGATTCCTTGGGAAGCTGGCCCAGGACAGAGGGCGTCCCCCTTTGCTAGGCCCTGGAGTCTCCTGCCTTTATGCCATTTCCTTGCAGGCAGGCCCCTGCCCGCTGTGAGCCTCCACTGCCTCAGCCTTTGGGACCTTGGGTGAGACACAGGGGCGCCTAAAGCTTCCTTTTACGTCTGAGCCTGCAGACCCTGAGAAGGGGCATGGGCAGGGCTGCAAGCTTGTCTGTGAAGCAGGGAAGCCCATGGCACCCCTGCCTGCCAGGGCAGCTGGGCAGGTCACGTGAGATGTTCAGGAGTGGTGTTTGACACGGGGCATGGCTCAGTGGGCGCTGCGGCCGGCAGCCTGGCAGGAGGGGTGGCTCCCTGGTCCCGTGGCCTGGAGCAGGGAGGTGGAAGAATAGCAGTGGAAGCTCAGTGGTGGTCAGTTTTCTCCATGGAAGGAGCCACATTGCAGCTCCACCACAGGAAGGAAGCCACGGTGTTCAGAGCTGGCTCTGTGGGGCGTGAGCTCCCCATCACTGTACGTGTGCAAGTGGCAGTCGATCCTTCTGGAGTGCTGGGATGTGGGAATGTTGGCAGGCGTTTTTGGTTGCCAGGAGGAATGAATGGATGGGCTGGGAGCTCCGTGGCTCTCATCTCTGAACTCTCAAAGTGTCAAGAAAACCCATAGGTAGAGACCAGGGGCAAAGGCCGTAGGGGCTGAGATTAGAGGACTCTGAGTTCCAGACACACCACAGGCCGATCCTCACTTCCTCCTCCCTGCATCCTACGAGGTGGGTCCTGCCACTCCATTTGACAGATGAGAAAACTGAGGCTCCAAGACACTAAGTCAATTGCCCAAGTACCCAGGATCAAACAGCAGAGGGAGAACTAGAACCCACATCTGCCCATTCCTGGAGACCCTCGCAGACCCCTTAATGATGGGGCTAAGGGGCTGGTACCGGCCCGGGAGTCATCCCCATGGGCTGCCCTTTGCCCTGGCTGCAGTCACCCCTCCCTGCCTGCCTGCCTCTGCATTTAGTCCTGCTCTGGCCTGGGGCACAGGCCATCCTGGGGAGACAGGCGCAGGGTTAGAAACCCTCCCAAGTGGGGAGATAACGTCTGGGGGCACAAGGGGAGCGAAGGCCAGAGGAGCCGCTGAGGCTCTGCAGGGAGCCCAGGGAGGAAGGAGCCCCCGCTCCACTCTTCCCTCCTCTGCTTTATCTCCTGCAGAATTAAATCCTTGATTAACCCTTATCTCCCCAGCAAGGCGCTATCTCCGCCTTGGCGCCGAGTGTCCAGACACACCGTACAAGATGATTGATTTCTTCAAGATATGCACGCCTTTCCGATACTTCATTTATTGTCTAAATATTTTTGCGTTTCAGCGGGCCCCCGTGGCTCTTGGCTGATAGGTCCCAGTTCTCTCCCTGACCCCTCCCTGAGGAGGACGTTGCCTCCTGCCCTGGATCGCCCCAGCTGCTGCCGGTTTTTCTTCTCTCTTTGTAGAAAGAGAAGGGGGAGGGGTGCAGATTCGATGCTGTGACCCTCCCCGCAGCCTCCACAGGCCTGGGGCTCGCTCACAGGCAGGGGTGAATGGGGCCACAGTGGCTTCCCCCTCAGTCCTCCACCTCTGGACAGTGGGGGGTGAGCACCCAGGGAGGAAACTGAGTGCCCGAGTCCCCGGCCGAGTCAGGAATGTGGACTCTGGCACCGACTTGCTGTGTGACCTGGGGCAGGTCGCTTCCCTGATGTAGCAACTGCTCCCACCTCTGCCACACCCGGGGCTGCAGGAAGGGACCCGAGGGGCCCAGCCAGCTTCAGAATTTATAGTCAGATACAGAAACACTCATGGTGGAGGGATAGGTGGACGGATGGATGGGTAGATGGATAGACGGATGGATGTGTGGCTGGAGGGGTGGGTGGATGAGTGGGTGGATGGACAGATGGATGAGTGGGTGGCTGGGTGGGTGGATGGATGGATGGGTAGGGGGATAATGGGTGGATGATGGGTGGATGGGTGGATGCATGGATAGATGGATGGGTGGGTGGTTGGGTGGGTAGATGGGTAGATGGACAGATGTGTAGATAGATGGATGGATGGCTGGGTGGATGGATAGACAGATGAGTGAGTGGATGGATGGATGGATGGATGGATGGACGGACGGATGGATAGGTGGGTGGATGGACGAGTGGGGAGAGTGGGTGAAGGTGGGGTGGGTAGATGGATGAGTGGATAGATTAATGGATGGATACATGGATAGGTGGATGGATAGATGAGTGGATGGATGGGTGGGTAGATGGATGGTGGATAAGTGGATGGATGGGAGGATAACCAGGTGGATGGCTAGATAGATGTATGGGTGGATGGATGAGTGGGTGGGTGGATAGATGGATGGATTAATGAATGGGTGGGTGGCTGAGAGGATGGATGGATGGATGGATGGATGGATGGATGGATGGATGGATGGATAGATAGATGATGGCTGGATGGGTGGATGGGTGGATGCATGGTTAGATGGATGGGTGGGTGGATGGGTGGATGCATGGTTAGATGGATGGGTGGGTGGATGGGTGGGTACATGGGTAGATGGACAGAAGTGTAGGTAGATGGATTGACAGCTGGGTGGATGGATAGATGGATAGATGAGTGGATGGATGGATGGACGGAAGGATAGATGGATGGATGGATGGAAGGAAGGAAGGAAGGAAGGATGGATGGATGGATGGTGGGTAGACAGATGGATGGGTGGGTAGATGGATGATGGATAAGTGGATGGATGGGAAGATAACCAGGTGGATGAATGGATAGATGTATGGGTTGATGGATGAGTGGGTGGGTGGATAGATGGATGGATGAATGAATGTGTGGGTGACTGAGAGGGTGGATGGATAGATGGACGGATGGATGATGGGTGGATGGATGGATGCATGGGTAGATGGATGGGTGGGTAGATGGGTAGATGGACAGATGCGTAGGTAGATGGATTGACAGCTGGATGGATGGATAGATGGATGAGTGGGTGGGTGGATGTATGGATGGATGGATGAGTGGGTGAAGGAGGGGTGGATAGACGAATGGATAGATGAATGGATGGGTGGATGGATGAATGGATGGGTAGATGGATAGATGGATGGATAAATGAGTGGGTGAATGGGTGGATAGATGGATGGATGGGTGGGTAGATGGATGGTGGATGGACAACCACATGGATGGATGGATA